TCTCCCCCCTCTCCCCCTCCCCCATGAACAGGTGAATTTTTCCTGGAAAAGCTACTTGAATTTCCTGACCTCAGAAATTTTTAGGAATAGATCTGGAAACACTTTCATTTTGGTGCTTTCTTTTTTTTGTTTGTTTGTTTTTCCTCTAAGATGCATTGCTGGCCGGGGGTGCAACCCCAGAGCTGCATCTTTAATTGCTGTTTTCATGAGCATCACAACAACTGCACTGTGGTTTAGGGAAAAAAAAAAAAGTGGCATCTCTGTTAATAACCAACACATCTTGCTGCTGCTATCTCAAACCAACAAAACTGCATTACTTCTGCTCCTAATAACAAGCTGATTTTCTCTGTTGTCTTTCAACATCTGATGGGTTCTTGCTCCCATTTCCCTTTAGTAAGTGCTATTTTGTTTCCATTATTACTCAATAGTAAAATCTTTTCCCGGCGACTGTACCAGAAGTAGATTTACAGCTTTGAAAATAAGCTTGGGCGTGATGAGATCTCGTTTTATTATTTATAAAGTGCCTCGCATGACTTCGTCGTTATCGAAACGCAATTATGCATTTAAATACTCCCGTCGTCTCTGTTTGTTGGTTTGTTTGTTGTCGGTTTGGTTTTAGGGTTTTTGGTTTTTTTGTGTTTTTTTTTGTTTGGTCGGTTGGGTTTTTTTGAGAGGGAAATGATGAAAACTCCAAAATTAACGATGAAGACTCCAAAATTCATGATGAAAGCTCCAAAATTAACGATGAAAACTCCAAAATTCATGATGAAAACTCCAAAATTCATGATGAAAACTCCAAAATTCACGCTTAATATAGCTTGAAGTGCGATGGCCATTGACTTTGCGCTGGCTTCTTCCAGGCGAAGGGCAGAAAATGTTCACCTGGGTCTGCCCAGGGTGATGTTCGTGTTGAGACACATCTTCGGTTTGGTTTGGGGCTTTTTTTGTTTGTTTTTTTTTTTTTTAATGCACATGGAAAATGTCGACGTTTCCTGGTTTGAGATACGGTATTTACTGATTCTTAGGCGGCGCTGGATGTTAATTGTCGTCGGAGGTTCTGGGTGTGGGCGAATCATTGTATAATGCCCACACCCTTTCGGGTGGCTTAGGGTGCGGCGTTGTCTTTGCCTCACCGTGCAGTTCTAAGATGTATTATTACCCAAAAGCAACACGCCCTTCCGTGCTTCGTTGTTTTTATTAGGGATCGCTCCGAGCCGGCGCTCCCGAGCACCTGGCAGAGCCCGCCGCTGGATGTGGAGCTCGTAACCCGGGCTTGCCTGGGCTTCCCGCCGGGATTCCCTGCGGAGGAGCTCTCACCGCCGATGCTTTGTGGTGGGAGTGGGCCAACTGGGGCAGCTGGATGGGCACACTGGTGTCTGGCACAACTGGAGCAGGGGCTTAGGCTGATTTTAGCTAGGCTGAGCTCCGAGGCGGCGCTGGCCTGGATGGAGCTTTCTGTGATGAGCAGCAGTAGGAGATGCAGAGGTGGGAAAGATGAGTATTTCTGCTGGGATCAGACAGGGCAGGAGAGAATTACCCCATCAGTGAGGACTTGTAGCCTGAGCCCTATTTTAGGGACTTGGGCTGGAGTTGCCCCATGAAAGGGCTTTTGAATTTGTGAGTTGCTCTTCTTCGGTTTTCCAACCTCCTGGCAACTACCCAACTGCTTCTCCCGCCTGGTGCAGGTTATATTGGACAATATAACCAATTCTTTCTCCAAATGGAGCCTTTTCTTGCGAACGGTGTAGGAAAGAGATGTCCCATTGAAGACCCCACTTCATATATCCCATATGTCACTTGGTGTCTGCACATCTTCTCAACCCTGGCATGGCCACCGTGGGTGATTCTTCCACCATCTCCACCTGACCAGCCCTCAGGAGCATCCGTGGTGTCAGTGATGACCCCACCATCAATGGTGACCCCTTTGCTCACTTCTAGGACTCTGCCACCTTCTCCAACCACCCAGTTTTCCTTCAGTGAAGGGTTTTTAATTCAGTGAATTACTTTTTCTTGCCTGAAGTAGTGGGCTGTGTTTAAATGAAACACATTCAAGGCAAACTCACAGAGAAGTCTCACCTTTCTCCGTGCCACATGATTGAATAGGGGGGCAAAGATGCAACCCCCTTATTAGAGTAATATAATTTTCCATCTCAAATAGGAACCAGGGATGTTTTAATGATTGGGCTCATTAGATGGACTTTCCACTTAAAGTGTCTGTCTGGCAATTAAGTCTGGGAAAAGCATGACTGATGACCACACCTTCTGTGACTTAATGGGGAGTCTGAAGGCTGATCTTATTATCACACTGATACAGTCTGTGATAAAAAAGAATTTAAGATACTCTCCAGAGATTTATTTGCCCATTAGGAAACTGCCAGGAGAAGGTTAAGGGAACTCATAAGGTCAAAGCTGAACAGAGAAAAGTACTAAACACTTGGGATCCAGGTGGGCAGAAACAGGAGGACATGATTTCCACTCTTGGCTCCGCTACTGACCTGTTACAAGGCCTTCACCGAGGCACTTCCTTCTTGTGTTTTTTTCTGATGTGGCTGATCATCACCCTGTTGGGCAACGTGGTAGCCCTGCAGATGCTTCGTGTGACAGCACCATGGCTTTGCCTCAGTGGCTCAATGCCCTGCTGGAGGAGCACATGGAAAAAATTGCGTGGGGCGGAAGGAAGCACACGCAGTCAGCAGGAAAGTGACGGTGATAAGGGCAGCGAGATGGAAAAGTCTACGGCAGAGTTTCTGCTCTCCTCCAAGAGGATCCTCATGGGTCCTCGGTGATTCCCTCACCTACTCTTGCCCGCTTTAAAACATGACCTGCTGTAATATTTTACTTAAGCCTGGTGTTTAATGGACTGGAACTTATTGTAGAGTTCACTGTGCCGGCTTCAAACCTCCTGTTGGGTACCATTTTACTGACATTAGCTTGCCATAGCTTGTCAGTGATTTTAACTCTGCTGATGGGTTGAACGCCCCAGGATAGAGGAGCCGGCTCTTTTGGCTTTGTGCTTCACTTTAGCTTCCTTAAGTACAGTGGGGAGAGATAATTCAGCTAAACATGTTTTAGTACAGAGTTTTTTGGTGACAAAAGAACTACTGTGTGTCTGGGTCAGTTTTGCCAGATTAATGGAAGAACTGTGAAAAAGGGAAGCGTTTCATTTCAGCATCTGCAGAGTGGAAGTCCTGACTTTCAGAGGCAGCGTGATTTGTTTAACTCAACATTTGCTGTGTTTTTGATTAAACAGACACCCAGAATTTGGGAAAACATTTTGTTTCAGGCTGAACGAGTAATTTTTTTAATGCTTTTCAGTTCCAGAAAGGAGAAGTCTTGCTCATTCCCACCCTTCTTCTCCTGAAAAGCCTCCTCTGTCCTCCTCGTATGCTTTGCAAGGGGGTCGTGCAGACTCGAGCCCTGTCTGGTCCATTAGGAAAACAAAGAGTCCCAGACTTCTCTCATCGTCCCTCCACTTTATCTTCCCTTTGTGCCAAATAGTATTGGAAGGCAAAAAAAACCCAAAAAAAACCAAAAACCCCAAAAAAACCCCTCAAAAATCCACTGTATACTACTTAGATTTGTGTGGAAACTAAATAATTGAATATGAAGGCATTTGCTTTATGTCTTTAAGGAATCCTTTTGAAGTTGACTCTTCTGACCTCCGAGGCCCCGCATAATTTTGTCTTCTCCGTTTTCCTCCTCTTTGTTGTTCCTTGCACTCCTGTAATCTTCTCTCCTGCCTGCTTCCTTCACCTCCTCCCACCCTGCCCCGTGAGCCCACTCGTCTGCGCCCCGTGTTTGAAGCACTCGGTGGCTGGTGCAGCCGGCATCCTCCTCTTCCCCCCACCAAGCCTCCCTCCCGCTCCCCTCTGCGAGGAGCCTCTCCTGCCCGCCCTGTTTTCTCCAGATGGTGTTTTACCTGGGCTCTCTCGACCCCCCCCGATTTGCTTTTTTTCATCTCACTCCCATTGGGAAGTGTTAAATTAGGGGACCTGCCTTAATGTTCTGGCCGGCCAAGTGCAATACGTCCACCCACGGCTTTCAGCAGGGGATGGGCTCTCTTCCCTCTCTCCGGACACAAGCAGGTCTCCACCCTCCCGTGCTAATAGTCTTTTGTAACTGTGTGAGCTTCCTGAGCTGAATCCACATTGTGTCCAGCCCTGCTGACTTCTCTGTTGGCCCCAGGGTCTCCCCATGGGTGGTTATTGGAATTGCATGTTCCCACAGTCTCCAGCACGCCGTGGGGTCCCATCACCAGGCTCCAGTGAATCTCTAAACTCAGTTTGGAGTAAGTCAATCAAAGGGGTTTCAGCCAGTGAAAAAAAGATCATTTAACTAGTATATAAAAATTGCTACAGAACCTAAATTTTAGCAATGCAGGGAATGGTTTTCTTTGTTTTGTCAGGAGTTGTAGCTTTGCTGGGGTGTAGAGGAGGACTCAGCTGACTTATCACAGAATGGTTTGGAAGAGACCTTTAAATCTCATCCAGTCCAACCCTCTGCCATGGGCAGGGACAGGTTCCACTAGCCCAGGTTGCTTATAGTCCTATCCAACCTGCCCCTGAACACTTCCAGGGATGGGACAGCCACAGCTTTTCTGGGCAACCTGTGCCAGGGCCTCACCACCCTCAGTGTAAAGAATTTCTTCCTCCTTTCTGGCTTCAGTGGGACAAGCAGTCCTCTTTCTAAAGAGCAAATATAGTTCTGAATAAAGGATGTGTACACATGCACACACATATTTAATGGAGATATTTAGGCATGGGAGTGCTGGCATTGGAGAGGAAGCAAAACCCTTACCCTGCATTTATCTGGGCAAGGTTCTCCTGCTTATTCACCTGGAGGGAGGAATACGGATTTGCTCCTGGCGGAGGTAAATATTCAGAGTGATTTGACAAGGACTCGGATTCCTCCCGCAGCAAATGTGTGAGCTGGGAAAGGGCAGCAGTGGTTGGTTTCATGAAGAACTGCTCTCCTTGCTCTCCAGGGTACAGAGTTCATTTTTCCACTGACGCATCCCTGACAAACACCCAATGGGGGCTGGCATGGGCAGCCAAGTGATTGTGTTGTCACAGCAAAGACCAGTGGAAGGACAGCAAGATTTATATCGTGGCTGCTCGGAGGGCTGGAGAAAAATGGCCCAAAGCCAGGAGTCATGCAGGCATGGCTGATACTGTCTTCAGTCTTTTGCCAAGTGTGGGCTGGTTGGTGGCTTATGTGAAATGGGCTGCACAGTCCTGGTCCAAGTCTTGGTGGGCATGATTCCACATCACAGAAACCAGCCACGCAGTTGACACTTTCACTGACAGTCCTAGCACAAAGATGGAGTTGCAGAATTGGCCCTGAAGTTGGAAAAAAATTAAAAATTGAAAGAATTTTTGCAGGAGGAGAAGTGCAGCTTCCTACCAGGGGAGCAGATGACCCCAGAAACCCCAGCACACACAGACACAACTGTAGTGATGGGTTTAATTTACCCAAGAGCAACGAGGGTAGGGGTTTAGGTTGCTCTCTGGAGACATGGCCTCTACCTCAGGTAGAGGTCCCCTGCATACCTGTGGTTGTATTATTTCATCTCCTCTGTGCCTTGGCTCCATATCTGCACAACTAGAGCATGGATTCAGGGAATGGTTTTGGTGGCAGGGACCTTTGAAAACTCCTGATTCAAGTTCCCACTCTTGGACAGGCTGATGCCTTTGTGTGGTTGAGTTTTGAGTATCTCCAAGGACACAGATCCCAGCATCTCTCTGGCTTCATGATTCAAGGCTTGACCAGCCTCTTACTGAAAATGTTCTTCTTACATCTGATCTAAACTTGCTTTGCTGTAACTTCTGTCCATGGTTTCTTGTGCACTGAGAAGAGTCTAACTCCCTTCTTCTCTATAATTAATCATTAGGTAGTTAGATGAAAAAGTGACATTCCCCCTTCATACCCTCATCTCTGGGCTGAACAAACCTCTCTTCTCACTTCATGTGCTCCAGCTCCCTCATCCCCTCTGTGTGCCTCCACAGTGACAATGTCTGTCTGGAGACCCCAAATTAGACACAGTGCTCCATCTGTGGTCTCACAAGTGATGAACAGAGCAGAGAGATCACTCCCCTTGACCTCTGGGCAGCACTTTTGTTAATTCTACTGAGTGTATGTTTGGGCGTCTTCACTGCAAGGCCATGCCACTGATTCTTGGCTACCTTCCTGGCCACCAGGACCACCAAGCCTTTGCCTACAGGGTGGCTCTCTAGGCAAACGTAGGTGGTTCTTGCTTCCTCCTGAGGTGGGATGGGTGGGGAGTGCCAGGATATTGGCAGAGGAGCAGATTGCCCCTGAAAATGCAGGGCCTGGAGGATCAGGTGGGGCAAGAGCTTGGCCAAGTCATATTCCCATCTGCATCAAGAACCAATGAAGGCTCAACCTTCTTCTTTGAAAGAGTGAAGCCTGTTAACCAGCGAGAGGTGAGGTGGCTGTAGGAGCTGGGAAGTGCTGTAGAGGCTGAGGGACACACTGAAACACTTCTTTTTTGTCTCAGGCTTGTTCAGAGAGGTGCAGCTTGTGTAGCCACCATGGTTGCTGATTCAGTACCTGCCCTGTGAGTATAACAGGAAGATTTCTGTCTCCACTGCTGCCCATCCATCAAGCCTGGGAGCAAAAGGGAGAATAAAAGGAATAACAAGAAAATAATGAAACATTGCAGCCAGAAAGCTATCCTCTGTGTTTCACAAATCTATAAATTATACCCTTCCCTTCCTCTTTAATCACCAGGCATATAAAATATGCTTGCAGCAGAATCATATCCCTCCATTAAAGTTTCAGAAGAGAAATACAAGTCCCATCTGCCTGTTTAGCAAAGCAGGGCAGTGCATGACCGTTTCTTTTTTTTTTTTTCCCTCTCAAAATCTGCTTTATGGCAGGAGTTTTCTCTTTTAGGACTGGCTGTTTATTTTGTTTTCTCATTTCAGTGTGTGTTTTCACAAGCAGCTTCCTCTTTGTTCTCTCATAGGTCTTTATCCAATGTCTTCACACTCAAATGCACCTAAAGAGCAGAGGTGCAACCTGCCCTTGATGAAGGTCAAAGGATAAAGAAGGTCACTTAGGACTTGAGCAGCCTGCTGTGGGTGGGTTTCTACTCTGCAGACAGGACAGACACTGTCTGAAGAGCAGCAGTTTGCAATAAAGAGAAATTACTAAATTGGATTTTGGAGGCACACATGTGCTTCGCTGCCAACTATCCCTGCTTACTCCCAAGGATATTCGTATTTATTTGTGTTGTTCTGGAGTCAGGATGGGCATAAGATCTTAGGGATGGGTTGTCTGCAGGGTGGAGGAGTGAGCATGGCATTGTCCCTTTTCGTACATCAACATGTCCCCGTGATCCACCAGTGGAAAGGGCAGGGAGAGGAGGCTGCTTTGGGGTGCACAGTCCCTCCATGTGCAGGTTGGGATGGCAGGGGGTTTGTGTACATCCAGGGGGATCTGTAGGTGTCTGGTTGTGCACATGAACAAGGGCAAGCTTACAGTTTTGGAAAGGTGTGATTGATGAGGGGGCACCACAGCTCCACTTCTAATTCAACCCACTGAGTCTTCATAGGATCACAGAATGGTTTGGGCTGGAAGGGGGCTTTAAATTGAGTCCAATCCCCCACCACAGGCAGGGACACCTTCCACTATCCCAGATTGCTCCAAGCCCCAAGCCCCTTCTAACCTGACCTTGGACACTTTCAGGGATGAGGCAGCCACAGCTTCTCTGGGAAACCTGTGCCAGGGCCTCACAACCTTCAGCATAAGCAATTTCTTCATTCTATCTAAGTGGAATCCCCTGGGGTTGCTTCCCTGGGAAGCAACTCTTGTCCTGTCACTCCATGCCCTTGTCCAAAGTCCCTCTCCAACTCTCTTGGAGCCCCTTTAGGCACTGGAAGGGGCTCTCAGGTCTCCCTGGAGCCTTCTCTTCTCCAGGTGAACCCCCCCCCAGCTCTCCCAGCCTGGCTCCAGAGCAGAGGGGCTCCAGCCCTCTGATTATTTTTGTGGTATTCTCAATACCTGTTCTATGGCTTATCATGGGTTACATGAGACACTTGCAAACTGACTTGAATGATTATTTATAGCACTGTGCCCTTAGAAATCTCTCCTATCCAGCAGAAGGACATGTCCCTCTTTTTTACCATAAAGCCTCATTTTTATTCAGTGGCATTCAGAGCAGAGCGAATCCAGAGGACTGGGGCGATGCGTCTGATTTTTCCGTGCCTGGAGATTTACACCCGCACTCCTGCTGCCATTAAAGATGCCCTGCTCCGAGTATAAATCAGACCACGCTCTATTAGATGCTTTATATGTTTCCAAGAAGTCATGTGCCATGGTAGGAAGGATCTACTGCAGATTTTGCGCTGGTTTTTGGGGGCTGGGTGCTTCTGGTGGAATAAATCCGCGGGGGGATTTATATTCCCTTTCCCTGATGGGTTCACCATAGAAGAGCCTTTTCTTTTTTTGTTGTTTTTTTTTTTCTTACCACCTTGGGCAAGAAGCTGTTTGGTTTGATATAGGTTCAAATTTTATTTTTAAGCAAAATATGAGAAACACAGGAGGGGAAACCACACTCTATTCCTTAAAATAAGTGGAAGAAAAGACAGGGCTAGAAAAATATTCTCTGCTGCACGCAGTTGATGAGCATGTACTTTGGCATAGGCAGCATCAAGGAGCTCTGGATGTCATTGGAAGGTACTTTTTTGTCTAAAGGTGTTTTTTATAAGAGTCTGATTGACCTCTTGGGCTTATCTTGGGCCCATCTCTGTGTCTACAACAGCTCTCGTTGAGCTCTGATTCTGCAATACCATTTGGAAGGGAGAGTGGAAACCAAACCCAGCTCAAACCAAACCTCAGCCTTTCTGTACTTACAGGGAACTTACAAAAAAGATGGAAGACAACTTTTTACGCAGGCAGATAGTGATAGGATGAGGGGGAATGGCTTAAAACTGACAGAGGGCAGGGTTAGATTGGACATTGGGAAGAAATTCTAGGCTGGGAGGGTGGTGAGGGCCTGGCACAAGTTGCCCAGAGAAGCTGTGGCTGCCCCATCCCTGGAAGTGTCCAAGGTCAGGTTGAATGGGGCTTGGAGCAACCTGGGATAGTGGAAGGTGTCCCTGCCCATGGCAGGGGAGTGGAACAAGATGAGCTTTATGGTCCCTCCAACCCAAACCATTCTAGGATTCTCATGACCTACCTGAGCAAACTTTTCTCTAAGGCCATAACTCAGGGAAAGAGGAAAGGTTTGGGTAATTTGGCCATCCATCTCCCCTCCTGTCACTCCTAGTCAGGTGATGCAGGTGTCTCCCCTGGCTTTTTTTTTATTATTATTATTATTTTAATTCTTCGTGCTTTGCATCCCCTGATTCCGTGCTCAACCTTCAGCAGCCATGGAGGAAGACTCCAAATCCCTGTTTTCACCATCCACAAGAGCCGGAGCCATTCAGCAACCACCTGGGCAGGGGGAGCAGCCCTGCTCGTGGCCACATCTGCGCTCCGCTTGCACACACATGCCCACGGCACCATTACCTTATAATTAAATCTCTTTTTCCCCGACTGGAAGGATTCTGCTATAAACAAGGGTTTTCTCTAACCATAATTGCACTCGGTGGAGGGCAAAGCTCTGCAATAACTCGGGGCTTTGTTCTGTGTGCAGGGAGCGAGTCCCTCTGCCTCTCCTCAGGTATGCCAACAATGCGAGCGGAACTCCCCGCGACCCGACATGAATCTCGGGGCAGGGTTTGCAAATAGAGGCAGTGGTCAGAGCGGGGCTTAAGTGCATTTATAAATATTATGAAGTACCGGCTTGGAAGAGGAAAGTCCCCGGCCTGCTGCGGTGGTGGTGTTTCATCCAGCGCTGGCGTGCGGCTTTGAAGCGCGTTGTTGGCAAGCTGCTGGGGTCCTGCCCATGCCTAGGAAGGGCTGAATGAAGAAAAAAAATAATATATATATATATATATGCGTATAAACCCCTATGAAATGCAAGAGATTGCATTTACACTCCTTTTTGCCATGTGTCTCCACGGACAAACGGGGAAGAGAAATTAATACGCTTCAAAGGGGCATTTTGTTCGTGTATTGCACGCATGAAACAGCATAATGTGGATTAGAAGGGCCCAGAGGTGGGAGGCGAGGTGGGTGGATGGAGAGGTAGATGTTTCCAAGTGTCTGCTTTTGTTGTAGCTCCTTAATTGGTGAATTTTCCTCTCCTTGAGAGAGAAATCGCTGTAACGCATTTAAACCAAAGGCTGGCGTGTTTGTGCTGTGGAAGGAAATGCAAAATGCAGGCAGGGAAATGGTGGGGAGAGTGGGGTGAAATGCTGGTGCTTTCCCACCCAAGACAAAAAGTAGGTCCTGGGATACTGTGAGTGATTCTGCATGTCTGCTGGTGCTCTTCGGGTTGTTGCCCAAACACAAACACACCCAGAGCATCCTCCAGTCCTTCACTCAGGAGGTGGATCAAGCCTGTTCCCTGGGAAGAGTATGGGGAGGCAGCCATGTGTTCTCTATGCACGTGCAATGCCCTTTCCCACTCCTCAAATCCTTGGGGTTGCTGTTGTGTTAGATGTTTCCATTTCTTTTTTTTTTTGGTGTAAGAACAAAAACACCCATAGGTGTGGATATAATTGAGCAGTTTGAGCTGGAGGGACCTTAAAGATGATCTGATTCCAAGCCCCCTGTCATAAGCAGGGACACCTTCCACTAGACCAAGTTACTCCAAGGCCCATCCACCCTGGCCTTGGACACTTCCAGGGATGGGGCAGCCACAGCTTCTCTGGGCAACCTGTGCCAGGGCCTCACCACCCTCACAGGGGAGAATTCCTTCCAAATATTCAAATTTACCCTGTCCTCTGTCAATGTGAAACCATTCCCCCCTGTCCTGTCACTCCAGACTCTTGTCCCAAGTCCCTCTCCAACTCTCCTGGAGATCCTTTAGGCACTGGAAAGGGCTCTAAGGTCTCCCTGGAACCTTCTCTTCTCCAGGCTGAACAACCCTCTCTCTCTCAGCCTGGCTCCGTTTGCCACACTGCACTGCCAGGTTGATCTGTAACATCCTGTAGGTTTGTCAGGAAGTTGTAGCACTTTAACTAGGCTGGTCTAGTTACACTTGTAACACTTTCCCATAAGAAGATGCAATCAGAGCTGTACGGATGCTGCCTTTTATGCATCCAGCTCTGCCAGTGGAAGATGATGCCTCTCTCCTGGAGGCTGCTGCCTCTGTGACTGTGCTGCTGGAACCATGCTACAGGAGCACCAGCCGAGTTCCCTTCACCCAGCTGCCCACTGCAGTTGGAAGAAATCTGATTGCTGCTTTTTCCCCAGCAGAAATTGGGATTTTCATAACAACCTCGAAGGCTGGCTGAGCTGCGTGGAGCAGTTGCCTCTGGTCTGGTAGTGGATGAGAAGCTGGGGTTCCTTTCTTATGACTCTAGCACATATTGGATCGGGAAAGAGCATCTGCCCTCAGACTTGAAGTGCTGTTTAGGGGCATACATGTGAAAGGGAGTCAGCCACCTTGATATAAGATGCTTCTGCAGTGGTGTAGCTGTTTCTGTTCCAGCTCTCGGGCCCACAAAGGTCTTCCTGTAAGTCACAAACCAACTGTGCTTCCCCATCCCATCCCTGGAAATGTTCAAGGCTGGGTTGGATGGGGCTTGGAGCAACCTGATTTAGTGGAAGGTGTCCCTGCCCTTGGTAGGGGTGAAACTGGATGAGCTTTTAGGTCTCTTCCAACCCAGAGCATTCTGGGATTCTGTGATTGTCATGGTGGTTCCAGCACAGAAGCTCAGTGGAATTCAGAACACTCTGCAATTCTGTCCTGCAGACCAGTGCAACATCCTCATCCTCTTTGCCCTGGTGCAAATCCAGAATAGCATCAGTTAAATCCCTGAAGTCAATCCAGAATTACACCAGGATAAATAAAAATACGTTTTGCCCAGCAAAGCCCAAAAAAAGCGTAAAATCCATCTGTTCAGTTCCAGCAAGGCCAAGTTCAGGCTGTAGCCAGTGCCCTGTAATTCAGAGACTCCTTTGGACATCCCCTTTGAGTTCAGGCATGTGAGCAGTTTCCCTCTTCCCTTAAAAATATTTCCTTGTAAAGCCTTTGTGAACTTGTGCATGCGTCGATGTTATGGTTATCACACATGTAATTTCATCTGACATTGTAATGACAGCATGGGGAGTTCAAAATGTAACAGTAAATATAGTTGTTAGGGGAAAAAAAAATACCAGCATCCTAGCCCATCATCCTGAATGCCTCTTCACGTCATGGGAGGGATGCAGACAGACTCCAAACACCATCAGCATTTCTGGGTTCCAGTTGGAAGCTGCCTGGAGTTCAGGATAGGCCAACACAAACAGGAGAGACTGTCTCTCTCTGCATGGCAGGGCTGCATTTTCTCCTCCTTTTTCCTATTTCTTTTTGGTTGTTGTTTTTTTTTTGAAGGGTCATCCCTCTAAATAGGGGACAGGCTGGGGGTTCTCCCTGCTTGCTTGGGCTGTTTCTGTAGCCTGAGGCGTGATGCCCCCCAGATCCTGCACTCACCCCGGGCCGAGAGCTGAGTCCTGACTCGACCCCTGGTTATTTTTGAGTGCTGTCGGTTTGCGATGCTGTATTGAAGGGTCATTTGCCAATTCCATTATAAGCCTCATTTACAACTCAGCTGGTTTAAATCAGATCAGGCTGTGAGTTGGCATGTGCACGAAGTCAGCTGGGACGTAGGGCTTGCTTTGCTTAGGGACCTGCTCCCTCAGACCCCCTGGTTGCCTGCAGAAGCATTGGTTGAAAAGTTAATCCTATTGATTTTCAATTTTTTTTTTTCCGTGTGTTTGAGCTGAAACATCTAAGCGGTGGATATTTTTCTTTTTCTTCTTCCAGGGAGAGTTCAATTTTTTTTTTTAATTTTTTTTTTCTGTTGGTTCTCCACCAGCTTTGACTATATTTACCAAGCTGGGCATGGGTGGGCCCCACCGGATCGCACGGATTGCTCAGGCGGGTGAGGCTTTGCAGGATCAGGGCTGAGCTGAGGACTCAGCTGCTGTTTAGCTTATGAGCAGGTTGGCAGAGAAACCAGGGACTTCTCACACAGAAGGAGCTGAGGCACAAATGAAATCTGAATCTGACTCCTGATCTTCAGTTAAACTGCTCTGCAACCTTGAGAGATGGATTAAATCATCCCCGGAAGACGGGGAGTTGCCTCTGGATATTCAGTGCTTGGGCCACACTTTAAGGTTATGCTCATATATTACCTGTGGTCTTCAGAGAGCTCATTAGCTGGTTGGTTTACATATAAAAAATCTGGATGAAACTCTCATCCCCCTTCCCTGACCATCCTGTGCTGAAACCTGGCAGTAATTCCATGAGAAAGGCCCAGCTCAAGGGTTGGAGACGTGATGGCATCTCGCTGGGGTTTCAGCATGGTCAGGACATATGATTCAGAGAAATGTTGGCTTGCAGAAAAAATGGTCATGAAATCACAGAATCGTCAAATAGTCTGGGTTGGAAGTGACTTTTGAAGGTCATCTCATTCCAACACCCTGCTGTGGGCAGGGACACCTTTCACCTTCCAGGGCTCAGGGCCCCACCCAACCTGACCCTGAATGTTTCCGGGGATGCGGCATCCACCACCTGTATGGGCAACTTGTGGCAGTGTCTCACAACCTCTGTCATGAAAAATTTCTCCCTTCTGTCTAGCCTGATGTAGTTCAAAGCCATTGCCCCTTGCTTCCAGGGATGGAGCATCCGTGAAAGTCCTCCTCAGCACAGCAAAGGATGGGGAGACGCAATATTCACCCATTCTGCCTAACTCCCCTCTTCTATGGGGCAGGGGCTGTAGGTCACTTGGAGGAGACACTCTCAGGTAAAATCTGGGTGGATTTGGTCTCTTCTGTGCAGCAGGGTCTTGAATTTTCATCCTGTGTGGGGGTTGACTGCTGCAGCATGGGTCAAGCCCAGGATGAGCCTTCTGCCCGTGGTACAGACAATGGGGGGGTGGTGCTGGAAGGGCCTTGTCTTTGCAGGCTGGGTTTGCAGGATGAGATGCTCTGCAGAGGCACCATCCATGAACATGTGTATCCAAAAGCCACCTCCTGGCTGTGTGGGAGCTGTTCTGGCCCAGACGTAGCATGAGGGCTCGTGTGCTTAGAGCTCCAGGACTGAAATGGCAATTACAAATCAATGAGGCTGCAAAGGCTCTCACGAGAGTCAAGCAGGAATATAATATTTTGGGTTATGCCAGAGTTAAATAGACCAATCTGAGGTACCTCTCTCCTAAATACCTGTGGGATTATGAGCCTAATGAATGGCAACACGGTGTCAGCAGCACAGGGCATGGTGGGAACTGAAAGGTGAGGCTGAGCTTGTGTTATGGGGCTTGGCCCAGAGCAAACTGGGCTTTGGAGAGATGCTAGCTCCTGAGATGGCCTTGTGAGAGGTAGGACAAATCTGGTGTGAGTCTGGAGACACCTCAGGTCTTGGCCAACGCCTGGGGATGGTTGGGGGCTCCTCCTGGATGGATGATACTGGGAGATATAATGGGGACCAGCAAGAAACCCGCCCTAACAGGGATGTGTGCCACTGGGGATAACCTGAGACGCTGTGGGGGAGGCTGGGGAGGGTCTGGAGGAGCAGTCCTGCCCAGGCAGGGGATGGAGTGCAGCTGCTGCCAATGCCACCGCCGAGCTGAGCCTCCCACCCCACCGCTCCTGGAGCCTGCCTGTACCTGCTCCCAAGCCGATATTAAGCCTGCTCAAACACTGCACCGCCTTCTCCTCACATTGTTTTCTGTACCCCACACCCAGCACCAAAATAGCGATAACCCCCCCCTTCCCCACCCTCCCGCGGTGACTCAGGCTGGCGAGCAGGCACACATCTGCTTCTCATTTAATGTGCGAGCGCTCTGACCCTTTTATTTCTATTCCCAAAGTCCTCCCGCCGGTGGCTTTCTCTCTGGGGGCGAGGGGAGAGGAGAGGAGAGGAGAGGAGGGGGAGGCTGGATCCCCGTCCTTCGCTCTGTGCTTTTTTGGAGCCCTCAAAAAAAAAAAAAAAAAGTGTTTTATTTTGGAGCGGTGTTTTCGCGCAGGCTGGTGACAGCCTCACCCGGATCCGCATCCAAGTCCCTCGCAACCCCGTCCACTCCGGAGGGATGGCAGCCAAACCAGTTTTCCATGGTTAAGCTGGGCACATTTTTCCGCCGTGGTTGGTTGTGTTTTTTTGTTGGTTTTTTGGTTTTGGTTTTTTTTTTGGTTTTTTTTTTTTTTTTTTTTGCGTCAGGAAGCGAACCCACCCAGTGTGTGCGCGCCGTTCAATGGGAGCCTTTTTTTAATTTCTTTTCCTTTTTCTGGCTCTGAAGAAGAACAGGACGGGAGAGAGGGAAGGGGCTGGCCTGTTCTCCCAGGGGAGCTCAGAATGGAAGGAAATGGCTTTTTTGGATATTTTTAGGGCCGTGCTGGAAGGAGGTACCCACCACTGACGTGCTCATTGGGTTGCAATGTCGTGTGTCCATAGGGATATATCATATATATATATAGTTATCCTATATCACTCCCTACAGCAGGATCTGGGCATCTTGCACAAGGGGAAGGTGGTGGAGGAGAGCAGCTGCAAACATATGGGCAGAAAAGCCACCAGCAATGTCACATACCTCATGGCCCCTCATCCATCTCATGCCAGAGCTGCTGGAGGGACCAGCAACCTGGTGCTCAGCCAGGCCAGCTCTGGTGTGGATGTCTGGGGAAATCTGGGGGTTTTCCTCCTGCTTTCTTTTTTTTTCCCCCTCCTTTTGGTGGCGTGGGAGGGGGATTGTGTCACTTGAAGTGTGAATGAGTTTGCATGAGACTGGGGTGGTTGCAGAAGATGACTGGAAACTGATCTGTTTCATTTAACATATTCCCCCCCTCCCACACATGTTTGAGGTGTATATGTGTGTGTGTGTGTGCATGTAGATACATATGGAGGGGAGATATTCACCAGCAACATCATCTGGAGCGTGGTCAGGAGAGCATCAAGGCTATGTAGTCCTGTAGACAGGGACCTCTGAGGGTTTCAAGGAAAAAAAAGGGGTATTGAGCATCTCCAGCCTTGCAGCATCTTCTGAAACCTCAGCAGAGAGGAGTAGAAGGGAGATGGTGCCCAGAGCAACCCCTCAAGCTCCAGACCTCCAAGGTGCTGCTTGAATGGGGGTGGGGGGATAAGGCTGAAAGAAAAGTCTGTGGTCAGGTGTGACCATCCTATAGAGTCTCCTGTCTGGTACCTGCCTGCCTGTGGTTAATTAATTTGCCCCTGCTCTGTGCGTAGATGAAGCCCTCAAAACACCATCTGGAGCCAGGCGGTGCCTTTGATGTAGCTCTGCTAATTGTTTACGTTTATTTGACCATTTATCACCAGGATCCCCCTTTGCCAAAACCTGCTCAGCGCATCAGATGGCACTTGTCATGCAGCATGCAGACTTCATCAAGCTGCCACCCAGAAGTGACCCAGAGCTGCTGGGTTTTTGGAGCTTTATATAAACTCTGGAACTGGGAGGTGTGCTGGGTGATTTAAACGGGCCGGAAAGAGGAAACCGAAGTGAAAACGTGGCCCTTCAATTATAGGAGGCATTGAACTCTATTCTGGCCGTGCCAGGGCTCCTGTTGGCATCTATCTGGGGGCCAAGAGCTGTTTCCAAGGAAATAGGAGAGCCCTGGGGCATGGTCCTGGTGATGTGATCATAGAAATCACAGAATGGTTTGGGTTGGAGGGGACCTTAAAGATCATG